TTGCCGATGGGAGCAGGATGCTTGGCAGATGTTGTCTGATCGCGCCCTTAAAATCCAGCTATGCGCCTATGGCGCAGCTAATTCTGCGTGTGATTGCACCCTATGTTTGTCCTGCCATGGGATGATCACAGGGAGTTACCGTTTTTCTTTTCTTTGGTATTTTTTGCATGTGTGTGCGTGTGCGCACGCGTGCCTGTGCCTGGAATTCATGGTGATCGCTGGGGAACTGAGTATGTTCAGAGAAGTGGCTTGATAGCCTGCCTCTGGCCTCCCGGCCCTGGTGTTCTCTGGAGGTCTCCCATCCAAATACTTGCCAGGGTTGGCCCTGCTTAGCTTCCAAGTTCTGACAAGATCGGGCTTGCCTGGGCTATCCGGGTCAGGGCAGGAGTTACCCTTTTTTAAAGGGTCATCCCTTGCAAGTTCTGTTCAGAGCTGACTATGGGGTTCTCTAGTTAAAGCTGTAAACTCGCTGTGCTGGAAATGCTACTTTTTTGGTGTAAATGTTTCGTTCTGAAGAACTGCACTTTATTGTCCTAGTTAATCCAAAGGAGCTGGTAGTAAAATATCAAGTGGTAGCTGGGGGAATAAAAGAGCATACTTCTTTCAAACCTGCCAACAAATAAAAGGATTCAAGAAGCTCAGCAAACCCCCCCCCCCCAATTGCTTCTAGTGCTGATGAGCCCAGCACCGTTCTAGCTTGTCCCAGCAAGGGTGGCGTGGCATCCAGCCTCTGTAGCTGGGCCCGCGTTGTCTCCTCCCCCACATGACCTACACTGCTGGTGAACCGGGCATAGGTCCAACTCCCTCCATCACCTCCACTCCCAGCAAGCCCAGTGTGGTTCCAGGCCCCTGCCACCAGGCCCACCACATTTCCCCCTGCCATCCTCTCCAGTGCCAGCAAGCCCGGCACAGCTACAGCGAGCTCAGCATGGTGTCTCGCTTCTGCCACGTGGCCCACTGTGGCTCACACAGCAGCTGTTGGAGGAAGTAGGTTTGTTATCTGCGCAAGCACAGGCAACAAATGTGTTGGTGGGAATTTAAACCCCCCCAAGTGCATTTTAACAGTTTTTAGATTTGCAAACCTGTGGAGTCCCCCAAGTTTGTAGAACTATCTGTTTAGAGTCTGTGTGGTTCTGATCCATGTCGCTATTAGGTATATAGATATATAGATTAGTGTGTGTGTGGGTAGTGTTCTCAGAGTTTCCAGTGGACACAGAGTAGAGCAGTTGTATTTTTCTAATACTATACTTTGGCAGCGTTCACACGCGTGAGATAATGCGGGAGGGGGGGGGGGGCAAGGCTATTTGCCCCGTAGGAATTTGACCCGCATTTGCGTGATCACACAGTCCCTGGGAGTTGCGGGGGCGGCTTGCCACTGAGTGATCAGACACAACCGCGGGTGAGTCGGGGTGGTGGTGTTTTTGGCCGCATATTTCTGGTGTGCTTCGGCGAGGGACCGATGATTCGCATCTCTGCACCGAGTGCTCCCTATGCAGTGTGCGATGATGCGCATACCGAAACGGGGGTGGGGGGGAAACAACGCCATGGAGTCGGGATGGCCCGATCAGACCATTCTGACGCCATGGAAGCACACTGGCGCGTTCACACTGGAGAAAGTCCATTCCTGGCCTGTAGCAAACCCGTTTGCTAATGGGTTTTCCTCAGTGTCTTTTTACTCTGCTGCAGCGGAGCAAAATGGGTTGCCGATGGGAGCAGGATGCTTGGCAGATGTTGTCTGATCGCGCCCTTAAAATCCACCTATGCGCCTATGGCGCAGCTAATTCTGCGTGTGATCGCACCCTATGTTTGTCCTGCCATGGGATGATCACAGGGAGTTACCGTTTTTCTTTTCTTTGGTATTTTTTGCGTGTGTGTGCGTGTGCGCATGCGCGCCTGTGCCTGGAATTCATGGTGATCGCTGGGGAACTGAGTATGTTCAGAGAAGTGGCTTGATAGCCTGCCTCTGGCCTCCCGGCCCTGGTGTTCTCTGGAGGTCTCCCATCCAAATACTTGCCAGGGTTGGCCCTGCTTAGCTTCCAAGTTCTGACAAGATCGGGCTTGCCTGGGCTATCCGGGTCAGGGCAGGAGTTACCCTTTTCCAAAGGGTCATCCCTTGCAAGTTCTGTTCAGAGCTGACTATGGGGTTCTCTAGTTAAAGCTGTAAACTCGCTGTGCTGGAAATGCTACTTTTTTGGTGTAAATGTTTCGTTCTGAAGAACTGCACTTTATTGTCCTAGTTAATCCAAAGGAGCTGGTAGTAAAATATCAAGTGGTAGCTGGGGGAATAAAAGAGCATACTTCTTTCAAACCTGCCAACAAATAAAAGGATTCAAGAAGCTCATGGGGCTTGGCTGCTGATCAAATACATGAGTTGTTGAGGGCAGCAGGTTTGTGTTTGCCACCCATGCAAACTGAGCACCTGCAGTTTCTCTGGGGACTGTTGTGACCTGCGGAAATGAACGTCACGGCTGCTGGCTGTGGAGTTCACCTGAAAATAGAGCATTCTTCGAGCTGATGCAGAAGTTGCCAGCTACCAGGTGGAGCAAGGTGCTTTGGGAATCGTTTTCAAGAAATGACTTATGCTAGGAGCTCAAAGTTAACACTGGAGCTGCACTTTTTGTTGCAAGCCGAGACCAATAGATTCTTTGCCTCAGCTGCCTCTCCCCTTGGACTGCTTATGTAGGGGTGAACGTGTAACTTTCCCAGGCAACCTCTTTTGAAGGAACATGCTCAATGTAGGTTGAAGTATGTTTACTTTTATGCATTTATTTTCAAGACTGGTGCCAGCTTCTAAGAAAAATGTGCCTACTGGCACATAAAGCCCTGGTTGATGGGTAGGTGCCATACTGCTTTTTGTAAGCATCCTTGTGAAGATACTACTGTAGAAATAATATGTTTGTTCAGCCTGGGGCCCAGCTGCAGTAATGGTAGAACTCACTGGCCCACAGATTTCTGTTTCTGGTTTCTTTGTTAAGGAAAGCAACAACAACAAAAATGAAGGCTTGCTTCTTGTTTTGGGAGAAACCCTTCATCTGTGTATGGGCTAAAAGTTTGTAAGATAGACAGTGGTTACCTGCCATGCATGTTGTTTTATCACCTCTGTAGGACAGCAGAGTATAGGGCATTTTACAGTGCAGTTCTATGCTGAGTAACTTCAGTCCTTTGAAATCAACGGTCTTGGTGGTGGAAAGTGGCATTAAGTTGCAGCCAATTTATGGTGACCCTATAGGGTTTTCAAGGCAACAGACATTCAGAGGTGGTTTTCCATTGCCTGTCTCTGGGTGCAGTCAGATGGCGTGCTGGGAGCGGGTTAAACTGCTCCGGCCCGGATGCGTTTTTTTTTTAACCTGGAGAATCGCGATCCCACTCACCTCCTTGTTCCAGATCACTGCGCAGCAACACCGCTCCCTGCCGTCCACACGCGGGAGCGTGCGTTGGTGTTTTTTCTCTCTCTCTCTCTGGGCATGCACACAGGCAGCCATCTGTACAACTAACATTTTTGCGCATGCGCAGAACAGCGATTTCCACTTCAGCCCGACTGCTGTAACACTTCCCTTTAAATGTTTACCCCAAAAATGGCCTCTGTGAGATCCTGAACTCGTCTAAAAGCTAAAACTAGGCACTGTTTAAACATTGTTTTTAATAATGAGGTGGCGGACCACTGCCTATGCACACACCGCCAACGCTTAAAAAAATGGCGGGTGAAAAGCGGAAGCCTCGGGCAGTTTTCGAGCAGGGAGGGGGGTTTAAACCGGAAGTGGCTCTACACCGCAGGAGCGATCAGACGTCAGAAAAGTGTGGCCGGAACTGGAGAATCTGGAAAACAGGAGAATTCGGAAAACACCACTTGGGGACCTGGTTTCAAATTCCTCTGGGTTAAAGCGGTTTTGAGCCAGAAAGCGATGGCTGGGGACAGGAGGCAGATGTTGACGGTGTGATCGTGCAGATAAAATCCGTTTCTGAGGTGGGCCGAAAGCGGACTAAATGGCCCATTTGAACGCACCCTCTGCATAGCAACCCTGGACTTCCTTGGGGGTCTCTCATCCAAGTACTAACCAGGGCTGATCCTGCTTAGCTTCCGAGATCGGGCTAGCCTGGGCCATCCAATTCAGTCGTCTTAGGCTGGAGTAACTTTGCACTGGATTGTATTGCTAGCCATAAAAATGTCTAGCATTTGTGTTGGATTCAGGTGGGGGTAGCCGTATTGGTCTGAAGCAGCAGAACAAAGTCTGAGTCCAATGGCACCTTGAAGACCAACAAAGTTTTATTCACAGTATATAAGCTGTCATGTGCCAGCATCTGAGGAAGTGTGCTTGCACACGAAAGCTTATACTGTGAATAAGACTTCGTTGGTCTTCAAGGTGCCACTGGACTCAAACTTTGTTCTAGCCTTTGTGTTATAATCTGCCAACTAAATCACAGATAATGGCATCTAAATCATTTTTGTCAACTCCTGTTACCTGTTAGAGGGTCTGCTCATACCTTAATAGCTATATTTTAGTTGTACTTGGCATCCACTTTTAAGACTGGTGTTGTAGCTGTCTTTCACTCCATCCTTCTGTGAGTGAATAATATATTGGGAACCTGACAGTTCTGTGGCTTTGCTGGTAACAGGGTTTAGCAGCAGGATGCTTAAATATTCCTTTTGTGGCTTCTCTTAGCGTCCCTCATTTTGAAACAGACTGCCTTGTTAAAGGAAGTGCAAGGATGCTAATCCGGAGCGCAGCCTTGAGGATTCCCATATGCTCTTAAAATAAACAAGCATCTGTATAATTATATACAAGTTTAACTTTCTTGATGCTTAGCTACTGTAGGCAATGGTGTATTTCAAGCTATAAATGAACCTTGCCAAGCAATTTTCTGGTGCAAAATGGACTGTGGCTTTTGTATGGAATGTACCGCCAGCCTCTTTGTCGCCCCCTTTTTCTTTCTGTTGTTATCCTTTCTGTTGCTTTGCCATTCATGGTGTTTTTTTTCTCCCCTCTGTCCTTTTTAGGAAACACGCCTTGAATTGCCACAGAATGAAACCTGCTCTCTTCAGCGTGCTGTGTGATATTAAAGAAAAAACAGGTGTGTTGGCATTTGTATTGAAAGCTTGTTTGGGAAAACCAATGGCACTGGCTGATGGGCAGCCAAGACTCATCTTTTAGGTGCTGAGTTAACTTTACAATTAAAACACCACACTTTTCCAAATGCTTGAGTCTGCATCAGTGGGATTTGGGCTACAGTTCTGATGCTAAAGTCCTGCAGAAATGAGTAGGATTTAAGCAGCCTGTCTGTGCCGTGTTGTAACGTAAAAGAGGGATCCTACTAAGGTTTGTCCAGTGGGGCTTACAACCAGGAAAGCAGTTTTAGGATTGCATCATAAATGTCTCAGCAACTTGGGTATTTTCTGCCTTTATTATGGAATAATTGTGCCTTGCTTCAGCCAGTGGGAGGAAAGGCAGCCGTTTGATGTACTGACTTTAAAAAAGAAAAATTCAATATGATGCCACATTTATTCAATGCATTTCTTGTAAGCAAAGACATCAGTGTTGCTATCCACTGCATTTGTACTTCCCTTGCCCTATGTTAGCTTTTTAAGCTTTTGAATTAGTCAAGGCCGTATGATCAGCTGTTCAGTTCCACGCACCTGTGCAGTCATTTCGTAGTGTACTATAGTGCCTTGTTAACATGCTCTTTTGTATTTGTTCTTTTGCACTGATTGGATTTGAATCTCACATTAGAGAATTGTTATACGTGAAACTAACCTAATTGTAAAATATCCTCTTTTACGCCGTGGCGACTTGTTGATCACAGAGGGCCACGATGGAAAAGTTTGGCTCTAGAGAGCTGGGGCTGATTTATATAATTTGATTTCTGCATAATGAATAGAATTTACATGACGTTCATATTAATGCCATCAATGTGACAATTGGCAGGTGATGTCTTTTATGCTGTGCCTGGCATGTAGCAGTTCAGCAATTTGGGTTGTCGTCTCATTAAGATCTTGTGATAAAGCTGACTCTAAAATGCATGGGATCTCACCATCTTTCATACTGTGCCTTGCCCCCGTCAGGAAATCATTCAAACATCCTTGTGTGTGATTTGAGTTAAAAAGATTTTCTAGCTTGCCTGAATTTGGCCGTGGGCCATAGCATGGCTTGTGCGGTAGGTCTGGGAAGATGCTCAGCTGGAAGCCTTTTTTGGTGCCCCAGGCAAATGGGTATCTGTAAGTTACAGGGTGGGGAAAGGGATCAGAGGCCCAGGCTCCTGTTTTTCTAAGAGTGTGTAGGAGAGGGAATATTGAAGACTGTAGTTTGTCATTCAGAAGTGAGAGAGGCTACACCTTCCTTCTTTGACATAACTGTTCATAAGAACATAAGAGAAGCCATGTTGGATCAGGCCAGTGGCCCATCCAGTCCAACACTCTGTGTCACACAGTGGCCAAAACCCCGGTGCCATCATGTAGCTGATTTGTCCGACTCCCTTCTTGTCTCCAGTATTCTTTCACCACCCACTGTGATTTTAAATCAAAAATGCCAAAATAAATAAATAAATCACACTTTATTTTACATGCTAATTCCCACATTAAGCTTGCCCAGATGAACTTAGATAGTGAATCTAAGCCTGGGTAGAAAAAAGTCCTGCAGACTATGTATTATAGCTGGACAGGGAATTAATGGAGAATCTTAGGGAGACTCTGATAACCCATGCCTGGTGGTAACAGTTGAAGTCATCATTTTATCATCTTTTTATCCACACATTTTCCCCCCTAGTGTGGTGAATTGTAGCTGGGAAGTTTTTCCTTTCTTCAGACGGGTACGATTTTAAGTGTGGAAACCACAGTTATACTAAACGTACAGTATTAGTACAGAAATCTAGACTACTCATTTTTAGAGCCCAATATAAATACTAAGTGATTAAAGTACTTCACATGCATTATTTCATTAATCCTTACATCCAACTGTGGAGGGTAGACCAGTATCATTGTTATTACTGAAGTTGAGGAAGGATAGCTTTGCTAAGGCTGTTAATTTGTGACCGAGGGCAGATTTGAGACTCCCAGTGAGTGTCCCCATGCTGATGACAGCTGAGGTGTTCTGGGTGTGGAGCAGGGGTCACTGGGGGCATGGGGGGTATTTGTGAATTTCCTGCATTGTGCAGGGGGAGGTCCCTTCCAACTCTATGATTCTGTGATTCTAGGTTAGCAACAAGCAAGTGGTAGGCACCTACCCAATGCCATTAACAACAGTTGATCAGGCGGCTGGTTCCCTTCCTTGAATGCAACGACTTGGCAACAGTGATCCATGCAATGGTCACCTCGAGATTGGACTACTGTAATGCTCTCTACATGGGGCTGCCCTTGTCGCAAATCCAGAAGCTACAGCTAGTGCCAAATGCTGTGGCCAGGCTCCTAATGGGCCTCCCAAAACGGGAGCACATTCAGCCTATGCTGAAAGCATTGCACCAGCTCCCAATAGCATACCGAATTCGCTTCAAGGTGCTGGTGCTTACCTTTAAAGCCCTTTATGGTCAGGGGCCTACATACCTGAGGGACTGCCTTTCCCCACATGTTCCCCAGAGAGCTCTTTGATCAGGGTCGCAAAATCAACTGGCCCTTCCTGGACTTAAGGACGCCAGGCTGGCTGTAACCAGGGCCAGGGCTTTCTCGGTGGCGGCTCCATTCTGGTGGAATGTGCTCCCAGAAGAGATCAGGGCCCTGCAGGACCTCATGCAGTTCCACAGGGCCTGCAAGACAGAGCTCTTCCACCAGGCTTTCAACTTGGAGCCACCACCAATACTTGAAAGGTAGAGACCCTGTTCCCTGGAGCCATCAGCAACAGCCTGTGCTAGCCGCATAGGGATTAGATCTATGGACCGATCACCAGATTATGCTGTTGATTGATGGCTGCCATCGTTTAATAATAGGTCTACGTTTAGTATTATTTATTGTTTATAGAACCTTTTAATGCTGGAATGCTTTTAGACGATTTTAAGATTTTTAAAATGGTTATTGATGTGTTTATTCCTTAATTGTTTATAGAACCTTTTAATGCTGGAATGTTTTTAGACGATTTAAGATTTTTAAAATGGTTATTGATGTTTTTATTCCTTAAGTAAGCTGCCCTGAGCTGGCCTTGGCTGGGAGGGTGGGGTATAAATCCAATAAATAAATAAATAAATAATAAATAAACAGTTGTCAAACAATTCCACACATCGACCAGAATCAGGAATGAAATTCTGTAGGCTAGTTAGATGAGTGGGATTGCCCTTGGTCTAGTAAGTGTCCTGTCCCTTTGAGAGCTGCAAAGACAAACCGCAAATTCACTCATGCCCATGATAGGTACAGCTGTTTTGGTCAAACACCTGCCTTTTAAGCGGCTTGCAATGATGCAGGTGCCATAGAACAAGAGAACTGGCAACCAGGCAGCCTGAGCAGCTAAATCCATCCTAGTAACTGTAGTTGCTGGTCGTTTTGTAGGATCAGCAGATGGTTGGTGCTACACTATGAATGAGGTCGAGCTCTCCATCTACACCTACTGGAGGGCTCTTGGGAAAGACAGTCATTGGGCCGATATTTACCCATTCCTTGTAGGGACTTGCATCGGAACAACCTCTGTGGCTCAAAACCTGCAAAACATACATATGGCTCACATCCTGCAAAACAAAAGGCATCCCAAGTGTTTGTCTATTACGTGCAATGGTTGGACTGGTTGACCGTGACCAAGAAATGTGGTTGTGTTCCCTGTTTCTGTTACTCGTCGTGCTGATGTAATTGGACATGCATCATGCCATTCATGATGATGTTCTGTCAATAGGGTATGGGGGCTTTCCATACAGTGCATATACTTTTTAATCTTCTACAATGTGAGATACTGGAAGCCACTGTGGAGGGAGGAAGTTAAGCCAGTATACTCTTGGTACATGTAACGGGGGGAGGTAGAATTTGCAGGAGTCAAAGGCAGAATTTGAGGCCCCCCCCCCCCCCCCCCGCTTACCTGTGTAGGGCGCATTGTCCTTGTATCTCCAAGTGGAAGAGCAGAAAGTTCAGTTTCCTGTTGCATCCTGAGGATGTGGGCTAAGGGAGGCTTAGGATGCCTTTTCCTGCACATCCCTGGTGAAGCCCACATCTGGCCTTATGCTGGCTTGAGGTTTCTCCAAGCTGCTCCACTGTAGGGCTTATCTGCAATCATAAGCAGTGTGCAGACCACCCTTAGAATGGGGGCAGTGAGTAACTAGTAAGAGAGGTGCCTGGTAGTTCTCCCCAGTGCAGGGGTACTTTTGGTCATGCGAGGGCTCACGTGCACTGGGTTGGAGAACCTCTTCAATACGTTTTCTTCAGCTTTACCTAGTCTGTGGAAATACTGGAAAAAGCAATCTGGCCATGTCGGTTTATAATGAGAGGTTTATAGGTAGCATATTTTTCTTCCTTACGATAGCAATTGCCCTTTATGGCAGGATAGGTTTATAGGGCTGGGAGAATGTTGTCTGTTTAGCTTTTATTGGTCCCCTCTCCTTTCTGCAGCTGAAAGGGCATGGATTCAAAAGCTGTATTTAATGAAATGTGTTTCCGGATTGGAATATGCCTCTCTGGGGGTGCGGTTAGCTTTCTCCCCCCTCCCCTAAATTCTGTAAGTTAAGATTCAGTTTAAGTTGAGCGTGTTTGCACCGAGGGACCGCAGCCCCATAGTTACGCTAGGTTTGTTTGGGTCTCATCGGTTTTTGAATGTCTGATGGCCTGTCTGTTCCTTATTTAAATTATGGGGAGCAGATGTTACGGCTTTGAGCAGACAAAGACCTGGTCCTACTGTAGCACTAGGGCTGAGGCTCTGTTTTGATGATTTAGTGATACGGGTTTGTTCTCAACTTTGCATCAGTTTAAATTGGTTGGCCTGTCTATGCTCCCCCCTCCCCTCCCCCTCTCCTATCCTCTTTGTTGAGGTGGCAGCATAGTTTACAATAGTCCATGGTCAAAAAGCTGGTGGGTGGTGACTTTTGACTACAATGCAGTTGATAAAATCTGCCTTGATATGCTAAGTTTTCTTTCGATTCTGACATTCTCAGATTTACAAGTTTGGCATTAATAA